TTTCCCTCTCTTTCTCTGTCTTTCCCCCCTTCCCCCTTTTCTCTCTCTCCCCTCTCTCTCTCCTCCTCTCCTCTCTCTCTCTTTCCCTCTCTCTTCTCCCTCTCTCTCTCTCCCTTTTCTCCCTCTTCCTCTCCTCTCTCTCTCTCTCCTCTTCTCTCTCTCCCTCTTCTCTCTCCCTCTCTCCCCCTCTCCTCTCTCTCTCTTTCTCTCTTCTCTCTCTCTCTCTCTCTTCTCTCTCTCTCTCTCTCTTCTCTTCTCTCTCTCACAGATTTTATCCTCGCATAGATTTAATCCCCACCACCACAAACATCACTGCCATACACCCCCACTAACTCACACCTTCCCATAACACACAGCCATTAACCCCCACTAACATCACGCCATACCACACCACTAAAATCACTACCACTCCCACCGCCACTAACATCACTACCACTACCACCCCCCTAACATCACTGCCACTACCACCCCACAAAACAACATCCCAAAAACCACCACTAACAACACTACCACTACCCCCACAACATCACTCCCAAATCCACCACCACTAACATCACTACCATACAACACCACTAACTCACAGCCACTACCAAACCCCCATAACTCACTCCCACTACCCCCCACAAAAATCACAGCCACACCCACCACCACAAACTCACTGCCACTCCCACCACCACTAACATCACTGCCATACCCCCACACTAAATCATGCCACTACCCCCCCACTAACATCACACCACCCCCACAAAAATCACACCACTACCACCCCCACTAACACACTCCCCACTACCACCCCCACAAACATCACTCCCAACTACCACCACCAAAACTCCCCAAATCCACCCCCACAAACATCCGCCACTACCACCACCACTAACATCACTGCCACTCCCACCCCCATAACACACTGCCACTACCCCCACCACTAACATCACGCCACAAACCACCCCCACTAACATCATCCACTACCACCACCACAACAACACTACCACCCCGTAAAGAAAAAGGACACAGTGAATAATGGACATTTATTGGGCAACGTTTCCTCTCCGGGAGTTTTAAATAAGCCGTTAAAAAAATACTGGACACAGAGGTTAAAAAAGGCTCAGATGGGTAATACTAGGAGGTACATTCGATTTTCACTAGGGTAGTATAGTGAGTGTAGTAGTGTGTAGAAGTGTGGGGGTATGAAAAAGTAAACAATAGGAAGAGCAATTAATTGTATTTTGGTAAAAGGATAAAAATTTAAACTTGGGTAACATAAAAATGGTTGGAAAAATATAAACGGGAAATGAGGCGGTTTTTTCAGTGTTCACTCTCTGTGCTTTGTGTATATAACAGGGGAGACTTTGTGTGGCAGGGGTTTTCTTTTCAGGAGGATTTTGCTAGACTTCGGGGTGGTGAAAACCCGTTGTTTTGTTTAATTTTATTCGAAAGCGTCGTGTGATTCAAGGCACTTTCGTGTGCGGAAAATTTGTTTCTTTTTATCACTAATTGGGCGTTCTGAATTTATAAGAGATTGGGGGAATTTCGGTGTTTTAACAGGCGTTGTTTAAGTTTCGTTCCTAATGGTATAGGTTTATTGAGGCGGGGGTCAGGTTTTTTGCGTTTCACCCAGTAGATTTGTCACAGCCTCCACAGGGGATAGTGTAAAACCCCGCATTTGTGGTTCGTGGTGCTTTGGGTTTTTTCCTGGGTTTGTCCTTTATTGAAGTGGTAGAAGCGAAGGCGACTCTGGTGTTAGCTTGTGAAAGTACTTTTGAGACGTTTAGTGCAACCTGGCTGTTGGGAAGAATTATAACTTTGTTGGGAGCGGTGTTGATGCGGAGAATTGATGATCTGAAGAGCTCTTTTCTTGCAGTCTCTGATGAAAAAAGAAGGAAATTGAACTCAGTGAATGTTTTGGGGAATGTAAGTACATTCCTCGTCAAGAAACTCAGGACTACAAATTCGGTATGCTCTTAGGAAAAACCCGATGATGATGCCTCTTTTGGTCTTGGTATCTTGACTGGAATAGAAGTGTGTGAGATCATTTTTATTGGTGGGTTTCCGATAAACTTGAAATCTTAGGTTGTTGTCTACTTTGTGAATGAGGACGTCGAGGAAAGGTAGCTTGTCATTGGACTCTTCTTCTAGTGTAAACTGAATCGCTGGTTCAACTGCGTTGAGCCTTGCCTGAAGATCCCGTACATCAAAACGTTTTGGAGTTATTACGAGGACATCGTCCACGTAATAAATGTCACATTAGTTGCACTTGTGTCCTTTTACTTTACATATTGTCGGTAATTCTACCAACTTTATTACACTACCACTACCACCACCACTAACATCACTGCCACTACCACCACCACTAACATCACTGCCACTACCACCACCACTAACATCACTGCCACTACCACCACCACTAACATCACTGCCACTACCACCACCACTAACATCACACTGCCACTAACCACCACCACTAACATCACTGCCACTACCACCACCACTAACATCACTGCCACTACCACCACCACTAACATCACTGCCACTACCACCACCACTAACATCACTACCACTACCACCACCACTAACATCACTACCACTACCACCACCACTAACACACACCACTACCACCACCATAACATCACTAGCCACACCACCACCACTAACATCACAGCCACTACCACCACCAACATCACACCACACCACCACCACTAACATCACACCACTACCACCCACATAACATCACTACCACTACCACCACCACTACATCACTACCACTACCACCACCACAACAACACTACCACACCACCACCACTAACATCACTACCACTACCACCACCACTAACATCACTCACTACCACCACCACCACTAACATCACAGCCACTACCACCACCACCACTAACATCACTGCCACTACCACCACCACTAACATCACTGCCACTACCACCACCACTAACATCACTGCCACTACCACCACCACTAACATCACTGCCACTACCACCACCCACTAACATCACTGCCACACTCACCACCACAACATCACACTCCACTACCACCACCACTAACATCACTGCCACACCACCACCACAAACATCACAGCCACTACCACCACCACTAACATCACTACCACTACCACCACCACTAACATCACTACCACTACCACCACCACTAACATCACTACCACTACCACCACCACTAACATCACTACCACTACCACCACCACTAACATCACTAGCCACTACCACCAAACACACTACCACACCACTAACATCACTACCACCACACCACTAAACACTCCACTACCACCACACCAACATCACAGCCACTACCAACACCACTAACATCACCCACTACCACCACCACTAACATCACTCCACTAACCACCACCACTAACATCACTACCACCACCACCACTAACATCACGCCACTAACCACCACCACTAACATCACAGCCACTACCACCACCACTAACATCACTGCCACTACCACCACCACTAACATCACAGCCACTAC